CTGCCTGAGCCCAGGGGTTCGGGACCAGCCTGGGCAACTTGGTGAGACCTTGTCTCTACAATAAATCACAAAAACTAGCCAGGCATGGCGGTGTGCGTCTGTAGTTCCAGCTACTTGGAAGGCTGAAGCGAAAGGATCGCTTAAGTCCAGCAGATCGAGGCTGCAGTGGCCATGAGCGTGCCACTGCACTCCAGTCTGGGCAACAAAGAGTGAGACTCCAACTCAAAAAAAAATAAATAAATAAAAGAAAGAAACTGAACTTTTAACTTTATTTAATTTTAATTAATCTAAATTCAAATATAAATAGTCATACATGGCTATAATATTGGACAGAGCAGCTGTAGGCCCAGAAACAACACAAAGTTATAGCATCTCAGAGCTAGAAGGGACCCGTAAGATCATCTAGTCAGACTCCATTGTGGAACTGAGATTCTTTCTATATCACCACTGATGACTTCGTTTAAATGCTTGTGATGATCAGAGACTCACTACCACTCAAGGCAAATATTCTACTGAGATAGCTACACAGGTTCTCGTCTCAGATTCTTGAAATATAGGATCACTGCAAGTAGTTCTGACTACTTGGAAGGCTGAGGCGGAAGGATTGCCAGAGCCCAGCAAGTCAACACTGGGGTGGCTGTGAGCATGCCACTGTACTCCATCCTGGGTGACAGAGTGAAACTCCAACTAAAAAAATAAATAAATAAAATGAGAAGCTGAGAATGGGACAAGAGACACCAGGATGGGCTAACCAGAGTGAACAAGAAAGGACCACTATTTCCTGTGATCTATAGGCCACAAATCTCCTAACACAACCAAAGACGTGCTGATTTTTTTTTAAAAAGCAGCTCACATCACACTGGCTTGTTTTATACTTGCAGACAGCCAAAGTCCCCAGACCCAATCCCACATACTTCTGAAAACCTAAGTGTCCTCCCAATCTGTACCTGTCCAATTTTTTTTTTTGTAATCTGGACACAGGACACTATAAATGACCTTTAAGATACTAGGATCATATCAGCTTCATTGGGTGGAGAGAACAGGGAAACTGTATTTCCACCTCTCCAACTCCTATCCCTGTATTTGAAATTATTAACTCAAAGGAAGTTAACAGGGCACTGGAAAGCAGGGCAGCCAAATAAAATCTCCCACAAGAGAGGGCAGTTGGTACCACTGGTGTAAATGTGTCTCCAGTTTCCGTTGTCGTTGCCCCGTGCCCGCATTTGGCTCCTTGGGGATTCAGTGATCCAGCCGTCCCTGCTGACCTTGGCAGGAAAGCACTCACGCACAGGTTCTGGCTGTAGCAGTAATGGAGGAGGAAAGAAAATGCCTTTTTATTATTAACAAGACTGAAGGAGGCAGTCCATCATTTCTGGGGTGGGGTGATATCCGTCAGCAAAAAATGATATGCTAACTCTCCGGGAAGCATTAAGAGCAGTGATAGGAGAAATAATTGCTTATGCTGAGTGCAAAGAAAAGATGCCTCAGCGGAATGGAGGCCTTTAGCAAAGCAGGTGGATGGAGGAAGGAGCGGGGGCGGCGCAGCTCCCTGATGACCCCTGGCAAGAGAAAGAAGCGGGAGGGGTAAACTGGAACCTGCAAAGCTCAAGTGTGGAAAGAGTCCCCCGGAGGCACCGTTAGTGCTATTAGAAGAATAAAGCAAAAATGGAGAAATGGTTAAGCAGCAACACAACAGGAAGAGGCAGGAATAAAGGAGCTCACTCTCCTTCCTGGAGAAGCTTTCACTCACATTCCCCTTCTCTACTCCTGCTACCTCCAGAATTGGGCTGCTGCCTGGTGATAAAGCATTTTCCTTACTCTCTCACCCACTGCCTGACTGAGTGCCAACTCTCATGGGTTTGCTCAATGTGGCAGAAGAAGCCCTTTGGCCCCTTCACCCCGGACCCAGTCCTGAAATCGCTCACAAGACCCGTGCTCTGGAAACATTTTCTTTAAAGTCGTATTATTATCATTTGAGTAACAGCTTAATGTAATTATTAGAAAAAAATAAGCCACTAACTCATTTGCAAACACGTAATGCAATTTAAAATGGACAGAAATATATAAAAATGTGAACCCTGTTGGATTGAGAATGGCTGATATTGCCTTGATATGATTCTGTATAAATTATTTACAAATAAGCATGTCTTGCTTTTAAAATAAGTGACTAAAACTCCTAATAGAGACGATGAAAACCAATGTCTAAGGCTGACAAAAACCTGCTACAGCAGCCTACGAACACTCCATGTAGCACACCATTGACAGATTAATCTTCTTGGAACTTCACTCTGACAAGATCCTTCTCCTGCTAAATCCTTGCACAGCTCCCTATCTCCCCCACCCCACCATCAAGAGGGAACTTCTGCAGACCCGTGACTGCCCCATCCCACTGCTTTAGAGTTGGTCCTTCACATGTCTGTGTCCCCCATGTGACAGCAGCTTCTGGAGGCAGAGCCAGCAGTGAACACGTCTCTAATCCTGCTCCTCACACTTAGGTAAAAACCCAAACAGATGTCCCACTGCTCTGAAAGTTTTAGCAAAAGTGATACCAAACCCTCAAATTCTACTTTTGGTCACTTTTTACCGAAGTTTTCAGTGCAACTTAAACATCAATCCAAACATATTCCTCTTTTGAAGGCAATATAGAACCATCTAGTTTTCTTTGTTCTTAATTAATGTGAGAGAGTTGGACCAAATGCAACTTCAATAAGCACTTCTTAGTAAGAGGCCAAAATTACAGTGTAAATTCAGAAGCTACTCTTCTGGAGTCCAGGAGAGTGTAAGGTCTGGGACAGGCATCAGGTGCGGGGTCAAGGAGTATCAGGAATCATTTGGCAAAATCCACAGCCTCTTCTAGAGTCTAAAGTGATCCCTGCTGCAGACAACTTGGGGAAAAAAGCTAAACAAATAGCACCCCAAAGCCCTAAATGAGGTAAATCATCTCCACCGGGCACAGGGTTGAAACACTGAGAAATGACCCAGTTTCTGCGCCAGGCTGCTCTGGCAGGCCAGAGAACGTAAGCCCATGGTCCACACCCCATGGCTCTCTGACACATATGGATGGGAGAATCTCCAGAGCACTGCTATCTCTGGTTCACCTAAATCCCAGGATCCAGCATAAAGCCTGGAAAGTAGGTGCCCAAGAAGAAATGATCTGAAGTCAGGTCTGTCTCCAGGTTGGTGGCAGAAGTCAGGTCTGTCCCCAAGTCTGTTTACTGAAGAACCTGAAGGAGCCACACAATTCATTTGTTGGTTTTTTATATCGCCTTCCCATACCAGGGAGTATAACCCATGTGTGCACAGAGCCAAATACATGCCCACACACCCTCACAGGATGCACGTGCTGCTGAGCAAGCAGGCAGTGTGACATTCCAACACTTACGACCTACTGCCAGAGAGTTATTTTTAAAACTTTTTTTCTTACTCCAAGTCTCATTTACTGTGTATCCTGAGTGTCTCTGTAAATCTCTTTGAGCCTCAGTTTCTTTATTTGTAAAAAGGAGATAATAGTACCTCCTTACGGGCTATTTTAAGAATTAGGGCTGACGTGTGTAAAGTGCCTAGCCCCAGGAATATTTCAAAGATACCTCATTTAGGGCTTTGGGGTGCTATTTGTTTAGCTTTTTTCCCCAAGTTGTCTGCAGGAAGATTTTAAATGATATTAAGCATATACAAGGATAACAATAGTATTGGACACAGAGTAAATAATCAATATAAGGTAGCATTACTATTATTATTATTTCAAGCTCAGATTACATATTAAGCAACTCTTCTGGCACAATTCTTCACAGGCCCTTTGTATGCTAACTCCAGTTCAACTGCTGGCCAGCCGTGTGACTGTAGACAAGTCACTTCATCTCTCTGAGCCTGATTGCCAAGATATGGGATGGGAACTTTCTCCCACTAAAGAAGTTACAACCCAAACAACAAATCAACATCCACACTGCTCACGGGGAGTGGTGGGGGAGGTGGGTACGCTTAATTATTCCTCGTGATCTTTCCCTGTTTTGATGCTGTGTCGATGCCTAATTGTAGGCTCCTAGAGAACAGACGTCTGGCCCTCCATATGCTGCCAGTATTCACATACAGTCACATCACATTGCCCTTAATAAAGGGGAAGTATATATTTTTTGACAGGGAAACCTCCTACTAAAGATTGAGTATCCCTTTGGACTTTTGGAATACTTGCATTATACCAATTTAACATCATTTATCTGAAAACCCAAAATCTAAAATGCACCAATGAGCATGTTCTTTAAGTGTTAAGTAGGCACAAAAGTTATAAATTTTGGTTTCAGATTTTCTGATTAGGGATGCTTATACCCTGTTACTGCAATGGCCCTATAATAAGTGATTCACTGCCACTTGGCAAAACAATGTTTGCCTATTTTTGAGTTCAGAGATCACAAATTGCCTGTCCAAAGATCACCTATTAAGTGCTGTTTGACCCACCTTTATAATTCTTAAAAATTTTTGAATTAGTTTCCAGCCTTTAAAAATTAGGAGACTGATATTTTTTTAAAAATCAAGATTTTGATTTCTGTTGAACAACTGGAAGATTTGGCAACAATCTGGGTTTAGACAATCATCAGCAGCAGCAGAATAGCTGCCCTCTTTACCCATTCACTACTGTCTCTACCACTTCCTCAGAGCTTTTCAGAACCTTCCCAGAATCTAGCTGTTAATCAGTAACCTCCACAACTTAGGAATTAACCGCTGGTTTGCCTGCACCTATTTTGTGTATTACACTTAAAGTAGTGTGTTTTGCATGAAACACTCCAGAAATGCGAAAATGAGGAACAGACTTGACCAAAGTTTGCAAACGTGTACTAAATGGTTCCAAGGAGATTTCTGTAATGCATGCTTCCAAAGAAGATACTTGTTTTTTCTAGCTAGGCAAGTTATCTATTCCTTCATGGGAGTCACAGCAAAGAGATAAATCTCATGTCACTTATCAAAGCAAATTGAAGCAGAAGTAAACAGTGACCTGAAAGGCAAAAAAGCAATTTTTAAAAATTAATAAATGATGAGACTATTAACAGCACACAAAATGGGTTTGCTTTTTTCTTCCCTTTAATATGATTTTTACCTTAAACATTGTGTCCCTCTAAGAAAGGGAAAAAAGTTAATAAAGGAACCTAGCACTCAAACTTAATTTTTAGTATGGCAAATAAACCGCTTTAATGAAAGGGCTGAAATCCCCGGGTTTGCACATTAAATTTTCATTTGTAGTAGAGAATGGAAATTATTGATTCAGCTGTGGCGTCGTGCATTTTGAATCTTACAGTGCCTCAGAAGCCCACGTTACTGCTGGGTGCAAATGTGTTGGCAGCGTTTTGATGCAGGGTGAGCACAGGGTGTGTGAGGGGATGGAGAAAGGAATATAGATAAGGGAAGGAGGCAGACTGGCTCTTCACATAAAGAAAATAATCAATGTTCCTTGTTTCTAAGATCTACTTAGATAAAGCATCTGATGGCATGATGGTCTAGGGTGTGCATTCTGAGACCAGAAAAGCTGGATCCACTCAGTCTTTGGGGAAACTACAGTGGCTTTATGGAATACTTAAAAAAAAAAAAAGCAAGCCGAACGGAAAGCTGATTATTTGATCCTAAGCCCCTGGAGAAGAGTTTGGGTTTCAAGAAAACGTTAAAAAAAAGTACCTTTCTCAGTTTAAGGTCAGGGTGTCCATCAAGGGAAGAGTAAATGTCTGACATTCTAATGCTGAACTGGATAGCACAGAAAAATCAATCAAACTCACAAATACAGTTCTCAATCTAGTGTGGCCTCATCAAAGAGTCAGGTGACATGAGCATCCCATCTTTACTTAAAGCATAAAAATAGGTATGCTTTTACTTTGAAAGAAATTAATCCTCCTGTTTCTCAGAGGACTACCCCATAATTAAACAACTCTTGATTATTTCCCCCTTAGAGAACTCATAAGAACTGATTCTAAGCCTGGACTGAAGCAGCCTGAATCAGGCCCATTTTGGGATCTTTGTGTACCAGACTGTATGAGATCAGGAAAAACAATCATCTTTATAAATAAGCTAAACTCAACTGCAAAAGTAAAGCTGCTTACAAAAGAAAGATAATCACATAATATATTATAAAAAGAGAAAGGTTTTGCTTTGTTTTGTTTCTGTTTTTGTTTTGATTACCTCCCAGTTAAGATTATCTTATACTAGTAGTCTCCTCTGTCAGTTTGGATGTTGGAAAAGTAGCTTTGTTGGACTAAAAAGTTCTGGTTTTATGTTTTCAGATGCTGAGAGCTGGTGCCATCTATAGATTTCCATTCTGGGAGAGGTTTCTCTTTTGTCCTACTTTGCGTCAGACCTGCTGTCGTGAGGATTAGAACGCCCAGGAGACACTTCCCTGCGGTTTAATAGGCTATGAAGGATGGGACTCATTAATTGGCTGACTGCTGCCCCTAAACAGGACGCTGCCTGGAGGAGGGAGAAGAAGAGGAAGGAAGGCCAAGGAAGAGATGGGCTCATCCACAAGACACCGCTGTCCAAGAGCGGCCCCAGAGCAAACAGCACTGCCTTCTCAAGGATACCAAAAGTGAAGTCTGAACTGAAAGCATGACTATCCAGCCACAGAAACCTAAGCTTCTTTCTGGAGGAGCAGATTCTGGGTTACTGTTGTTGTTTTTTTTTTGACTTCAAAAACCCCTCTTGAGATATCTACCTACCAGATTTCAGATTACTGAAATGTTACTTTTTCTGTCATTCCCAAACTATATTCTCATCGATTTTATTATAGCACCCATACCTATTACTCTAGTGTGTTTATTAATAACAAATTTTCCCTTTTCAAGTCTTGGTTAAGTGGGTCCTTCCACCCTCAGGAAAGCCAGGTTGCAGCCTGACACTCAAGGCCTCCTGACTCGGCCCTGCCACCTCCTGTCCTCGTCTTTTCACCTCCCCTTCCAAACTTAGGCTACACTATTTATAAGCTGTCCTCCACTCACAATGCCTTACATTTTCACAGCTTTGCATGTGCTGTTTCCTCTGCTTGGAACAGCTTCCTTGCTGCAGCTTCTTCCCTTAGCTCAGTTCTTTACAGACTCAGGCTCATAGGCCCTCTTGGGAGGGTCTTGAATCCCAATCCCAAATACCCCATCTGCCCTCTGGATTGGAGGTCCCACAGCTCGTGGTCCCTTCCCTCTACTCAACCTTCACCTCACTCTTCTGTAATAGTCTGTCCCGCACTTAGTAGAGTGAATGGTAAATGTTATTTGAATAAATCAAGGACACCACTTCCAGCTCCAACATAGCCTGGATTTATTAGATCAGTGGAAGGAAATTTAACCAGTGCCTCCTGAATCAGGAGCTGGCATATCACCTCTTACCTTTATGGTTTTGGTCTGGAGTCTGAGTCCATTTAAAGTGTTGATGGCTTTCTCTGCATCCTTTGGATCAATATAGTTAACAAATCCATACCCTAAACTCTGTCCTGTGGAAACATTAAAAAGAGAGAGAGAGAGAGAGAGAGAGAAGAGAGGAGGGAGGAGAGAGAGAGAGAGAGAGAGAGAGAGAGAGAGAGAGAGAGAGAGAGGGGATATACATTTTGACACAGTAATTGCTATTTTGTCTTTTTTTGATGCTTACAGCATGTTTTGTGGTGCCTACTGGTCCTATGTCCATAAAAG